AAACATCAATGATTTATTGTTAACAAAAAATGGAAGAATTACGTATTTTGTTACACGAATTTTCTGCACAAATCCTGTTAATAGATTATTGGCTACCTTTAATGTAGCACAAACCCGGCATAAAATTTCCAACACTGAGTATGAGATGTACCAAAGTTTTCGATTTCACCTATCAGATAAAATGCACAAATAATTATGATCTGCAAAGATAATAGATCGTCCATAGTAGATAAATTTTTAATGAGCTGACCGTGTAATTCGAAAAACCAATGATTGTTGATAACTTTAATAGCGTGTACCCATAGCAAATCGACAATCAACGCCAGAGAGATTCTGAAATGCATATAAAAACAGCTCGAATTCGTATAATTTTTCTACTTCATAACTCTATCATTCGAATAAATACAATAAAAATTTGTTAAATCGATCAAACCCACGTTAATAAATAAAACGTAGTAAATCAATTAAGCATCGCAAATTAATCAAAAACACATTAATAAATCAATAAAAACGTAGTAAATTAATTAAAAACCACGTTAAAAAATAAAATCATATCAAACATCATACTTACATTCATCAAATCAAAGGTATGTAGGATGCTTGTTCCCGCGTATTATAAAAAAACCATCGTACTAATTGATATCATTTTTAGATGACGCCAACTGAATTTCTCGAAACCCTCGCAAAAATGCCATTAGAGAATTATTTATTCATCATACCTGTCTTGATACTTATCGTAACATTTATATTTGGAGAAAAATTCTTCATATACCTATTCATTACCGTTGCATGCTTTGTTTTCTACATATTTAAACAACGGATCGATATGGATCTTGATTTATTGAAAGAGAACCAAAAAAACAAATCTGAAAAAATTGATAATAAATTTGAAGAAATCGATAATAAAATTGATGAGCTTTATAATAAAATTGAAGAATTTAATAATAAAATAGATGAACTTTCCCGAAAAAATTTATTTACTCAGTGAAGAGATTCAACAAAGATTCCGCGAAGATAATACCCTAACTAATAATTCAAGCAATATTTCAAATAATAATAGTTCAAGCAGTTCTCGAGGTAATGCATAAATATCGTTATCTTTGGTGAGACGCCCATAGTAAATCAAATATTTTTGTATCATTTCAGCTTCAAGACAAACTTCAGAAATACTCATGCAAAAATTCAAGAACCTTTTCGACGAGACTATGCGAGAAAAGAATCATACTAAATCAGAAATGATTAATGAAATTATAGCCGATATAAAAAATGAAACGGGGATAAGGATTATCGGGAGTCAAGGCTATTGATAATTATTATAATGGAACAACAAAAACCTGATAATAGAACCATAGACGCGATAAAGACTTGGATTGCGTTTAAAACTAAAGAAAAAAATAAAGTCGTAGTTAGCAATAATAACAATGATAATAGTAATGACGATGAAGAAATATATTTTAACAATGGTAATCAATAGTTTTTTACTGGTAGAGCCAAAGTATAGGGACGTATTTTCATGGTCTAGGGGCCGTATGTTCTCTCCCTTGCAACTCTACCGTAAAATTATTTTATTCTTGTATTTTTATCGAAATATATTTCGCTTGATTAATCATTAAATCATAATAATAATAATAATAAAAAGAATCATTCGAATTCTTATTTTTTAAACATAATAATAATAATTATTTGTGTACGACCCATAAAATTTTTGATTTCCAGAATACTTGTATTACTTGTATTACATGTTCACCGACTGTTACGTGTAACCTAACTCACCCTTAATATGTTGGGGTTGGTCACAATGGTTGATCATCAAACATAGTTCAGGTCAATATAGAAAATTATTATGTGCGGATTTTTTAATGTTACACGTATATATCATCAAAACATTACAGTAAAATCATTGAAGATTTAGATAAACTTTAAAACGTAAAGGCTCAATAACCAAGCAGGTTGTGGGAATAATATTTCCTCATTTGTATTTCCAAACACTCAATTAATAGCATATCAGAGAGTTTTTTTCATTTATATTAGTAAAGAATTTTTTTGTAAAGGTTCAAAGTTATCAATTTTGTTGATTTTACTATATATTAACAATGGAAATTTAGATAAATTTCAAAATCTAAAGGATCAATAACCAAACTAGCTGTGGGAATAATATTTCCGCGATTGTATTTCCAAACACATAATTAATAACCGATCAGAGAGTTTTTTTCATTTTTATTAATAAAAAAATTTTTTGTGAAGGTTCAAAGTTATCAATTTTGTTGATTTTACTATTAACAATGGAAATTTAGATAAATTTCAAAATCTAAAGGCTCATTAACCAAACTAGCAGTTGGAATAATATTTCCGCGATTGTATTTCCAAACACATAATTAATAACCGATCAGAGAGTTTTTTTCATTTTTATTAACAAAAAAATTTTTTGTAAAGGTTCAAAGTTATCGATTTTACTATTATTTTTAGTCATATATTATTATGAGGTGTTACAAATTTTTCAAAATAACAGTCAAAAAATCCGCATATATGAAATTTAATTATTGATGTTCATTATTTTTGATGATCAGCCATTGTGACCAACCCCATTAATATGTGGTGTGACTATATAATTATGCATAACCTGTTTCATGTATATTAATATACTTTTTCTTGGCGTAAACCATTCCCCAATTTTTCCCCTCCGTTATCAACTACTATGAAGGTTGAGAACAACTATCTGAAAATTACTTCACCAGAATTGTGGAGTCTCGACGGCTTTGTCGATTGGTGTGGCTCGTATGATATATTTAAGGGAGACAAAGTGAAAATCTTGGACCATATAAAAAAAGGACTTGAGAAAGTCAAGAATAATGTACTCATTAATGAAGGTATACGACAGAAGGCAACTAAACTGTTCAAGGACTTTCAGGTGATGTATTACATATATAAAATATGTACATGTAGGATAGGATTGTATGCATCATTAAACGACTATTTGTTGTTTCTGTTGCTACAAATCTGAAGAGATAACAAAGATGTTGGATTGAGCCAGGGGACTATTTGTCAACCAGAAGATCGACTACTTGTTTATCCTTCTCTTTGGTCTCCTGTGGCACACTAGGGACTATTTGTTACCGGTGTTGGACTATTTGTTCGCCATGGCCCTTTATGCTTTTTAAAACAACGAGATTTTGATTTTTGATTATGTATTATTGGGCCAAATTTAATTCATTCCTTTCATGTTTTACGATAGCAGACATGGAGATCCTCACAAACAATAACGGAATATTTCAAACAGCTTGAGATTCGTTATCAGACCAAACAGAAATTGGAAGTAATTGAAAGTCAGAAGACTATTGAGCTCGCCGAAATCGAACGTATGAAGGTACTTTTTGTTCTTTTATACACGCAACATACGACTTTCTTGATATAGTACGCTATCTGCACTCAATAATTTTGATATGTATATGCTACAGGTTACTCAATTATGGAATAATACAGAATCAGTAGCGAAGATTCATCAGCATGTTTCTGATAGCTTTGTAGAATTTAGCAAAGAAATGACAAGAATACCAAAACGCATATTAGAATCTGATCGCGAAAGTAATCCTGATAAAAAACAAAAGCCTGTGGGTATCTTCACTGTGAATGCATATCTCGAGATTAAAATATTTCTAATTTTGTTTCTGTCCATTAAAGTCGGCATTGGAAGATAGCGATGATGAATTAATTATTATAGATGATGATGAGGAAATAAATAATCTTACAAAGGTATTTTGGTATTACTATCTATTACTTATAATAATTATCCTCACTCATACTTAAACTCCTAGGACGAGATGGACATTCGTAACAAGATGTATAAAGTTTTGGTTGCACGCCAAAACAGAGAAAAACAATCTGGAAAGAATCATATGACGTCGATATGTCTCAATGGTATAATAGATTTGTCCGATGAAGAAATACACGGAAAAATCAAAAGTCTCTAAATGAAGAGCAACTTACATGGCTTAATGTGATTCTTACAAAACAAGTTTCAAATAAAACTGAAGAATTTAAACAATATGTTGGGCAGTTTACCGAACGTGTATGTAATAGAGTCCAAATTCCGACCCTTGTCCGTAATTCTTTTGTTTCGGGAAGATTCGATTCCTATTATTACGAAGACTACGATATCGCTCATCAAGTACTTGAACACTGGTAATTAATTTCATATGCATGTTAATATTCGTTTTAGCTGAATTTTCATTTTTATTAACCTTTCTGTAAATAGTGCCACACGATTAGAAGCTCATATTAGTTACGAATCCAAAAGTTTTAATCTAGAACGAACATTCGCAATAGACACTGTAATATATATTTTAAATCGGTTATTCAAGTTGCATCAAGATGTTTTAGACAGTGGGTGGTAAGTACCAATTATAAATTTTAAAGTGTTGGGATAGCTTATCAGTTAATTATGTTTTTCTTCTACTTAGGATCGAATTGACCACTCCTCATACAAAACATCACAAATTTGATGGGTTATTTAAAGTGATAAGAACAAAACTAAAGAATCAAGTTATAATTGTCGTTGAATTTTCAAGTGGCAGAAAAGCGTCATTAACTAAAGAACATGATGACCATGTTAAATTATGTCGAAATGCGATGAGGATTTTAAATGCCGTATTACAAACTATACCTAGGGAAAAGGCACGAATTTACTTGATACAATTTGTTAGTAAGTATTTGATCAAAGGTTGAGTAATGAGAAAGGTGCAAATTATTTACATACCTCTAAAAAAAAATTTTTTTTCTTTCTATAGACAGCTATCTTAAGATTGAGTATTTGATCTGTCCCTTACCATCAGTATATCTTCTTGACTGTCTTGTATACACTAAAGTACCCGAGACCTTTAACGACTTTGAAAAATTTGCCAAGGATATGGTGGAACTAATGAATTGGCAGGTATGGACTTATAAATTAGTCGGACTTCCTTTTTTAGTAGCTAATTTTAATTAATATAGGCAGATGTCTTATTCACGGTCAAGGAAATCAACAAAATTATTCACACAGCTGGAAGCAATAATATCTGCACAACTTCATTGGAAGATACACCAAAACAAGATAAAAAGAAAGTCATAAAGATCATAAAGAAAGCTAACGATTCATATCCAGAATCGCCTTGTCCTGGATCACCAGGCTCACCGTTGATATAAAATTATTTCATTTAGTTTTTATGAGTATCAGGTTTTTTAAAACTTTTTTATCCAATATGTATGCATGATGTGTTGGAAAATAATAAAAATATACGATGCTATCAGGTTAATCTGTGCAACTGCGAATTTTTCTTGCACTAGTAGAGTATTTGTTAATCCGCCCACATCGGGCTTTTATTTTTTAACTTGTGTATGCTATATGCGGTGTGGTGTGTATGAACTTTTGTCATGTATACATTATTTATTATCATGGATAACCGCTTTCCGATAATATTGACCTTTAGCATGTCTCATAAATGGACCATCTGGGCGATAAAGCCATTGAATGACTGTGCGTTGGATTATTTTAGCAGAATTTATTCATTTTTCAGATATGCCCGATGCATGATTTTTGTTATACTTGGATCGGCCAAAACAATAATGATTACTTTTATCGCTATACTTAATCCAATCACGGCAATTATAACAAAATCCCGCCTTCTCACATAATATGTTCGAAACCAGAGTATACTGCCAGAGTGTATAGCATTCTATTTATCTCCTGAAATCTGTAATTGAAAGAGGGATATTCGCATGAACCACCAGGGCATATATACTGAGGGTTCATTATCTGTAAACATGCTTACTTGCACTAGAAAAGTTTCTCCGCCAGAATTTACATATTCCAACTTTAATTGTAACTCTACTGTTCTTTGTTCTGGACTTCCTCGGTTTCTAATGATATTAATTTGCTGTTCATGTGTTTTCGATAATATTATCAAGATCGATTCTTTGGTTATCGATATTAGATATAATCCCCTTCTTGCATTAGTAATTTCACTATAATCATATGGAATAGTGGAAATGAAAGGTGGATGAGATATGTAAGAAAAAAACAATACAAAAATCACTCCATTAGGTATAGAGTAACCTCACTTCGTGAATGAAAAATCACGTGCATCTAGGTGAAAATTATCATTATCGCCATCATAAAGGCTAACATATATTCCATCAGGCAAAGGTCTTGCGACTACATAAAAAAATTATTAACACTACATTTTATTTATTCGTGTTCCAATAAGAGAAGTTATTTACTAACTTCAACTGAGAGAAATCCACGCCTTATAGGCAATTTTGATTCAGATGATTTTGGTTCGGATGATTTTGATTTACAGTCAAACCTCGTTATAACGGACCTCGTTATAACGGATTTTTGTTATACCGGACAAAACTTTATTTCTATTTTT